ATGTGGCTCCTGAGGCGGTTGGTTCATTCTGGCTTCATGCTCACGCTGGTCTCTGACTAAACTCTTCCTTTCCACCTAGCCAAATCCTCCAAGCCAACTCCAGCCAGGCCCGCCTTTTCCATGAAGCTTTACTGTGGGCTTTTCTTATCTGTACCACTCACTCAGACCTTATTCATATATATTTGCTGGCCTGTATTTATAATTCATTTTTCTAGTGTGTGCATCTTCTCTCCTTACTTATAAGCTTCTTAATTTAAGATCAGTGACCATGCCTAACATCTCTCATATGCCCACAGTGCCCTGTACGTGCATGTAACACACATAGTGTTCCTTAATTAATATGGTTTTGAATGAATGAGTGATGATAAAATGGAATTTTGATCCCTCTGTTCTTTGCCTCTAACAAATGCACATCAATTAAAAAATGTGTTAAGTATTCTTACTGTTTCTAAGATAGCAATTTATTTTTAAAAAAACATTAACAACAGAGGATATTCATTCATTCATTCATTCATTCAGACATTAATTCAACACATATTTATTAACTTATTAATGTGTACCAGGTATGTGTTAAGCTCTGGGGAAAAAGAACAGAGCAGACATAATTCCTGGCCTAACGAAGCTGGTAGACTAATAGGTAAAATAAGTGCAAACAGGTACATGATTGCTGTTCAGTGTGGAGACATCAGGGAAAGCACGACCAAAGTACAGAGGTACACAGGAGTGTGGAGTCATGGTGAGGGAAGGGACACAGGGAGAGAAGGCTTCCAGGAGGAGGTCACCCCTGAAGCCAGGACTTCACCAGGAAGACAAAAGGGGAAGAATCTCCCATCAGAGGGAATAGCGTGTGCAGCACCAGAGGCGACCATCCTAGGGGAAGTCAGGGACTTGTATGCAGTTAAACATGCAGGAGAGCCAGGTGCAATGGGGGCATAGAGCTGGCCTGGAGTGGCAGGCGGGAGTTACAGCGTGAAAGTTTACGAGTTAAGGAACTGGCGTTGGCTTTTACAAAGCAATAATCGAAAGAGGATTTTCAGCAAGGGAGAAACACAATCAGGCTGCATGACAGCTGATATTAGTGGTATGGTTTGAATTGTGATCCCTCAAAATGCATATGTTAAAGTCTTAACCTCCAGGACCTCGGAATGTGACCTTATTCAGAAATAGGGTCATTACAGATGTAGTTAGTTAAGATGAAGTCATTACTGTGGGCTCTGTTCCAATATGAATAAAAAGGGAAAATCTGGACACACACACAAAGAGCGAAATGTCATGTGAGATGAGGCAGAGATTGGAGTGATGCATCTACAAGCCAGAGAAAGCCAGAGATTGCCAGCAAAGCACCAGAAGCCAGGGGAGAGGCCTGGAACAGATTCTCCCTCACAGCCCTTAAGGAACCAACGCTGCTGACACTGATCACAGATTTCCAGCCTCCAGAACTGTGAAACAATAACCTTCTGGTTTTTTTGTTTGTTTTTGGTTTTTAGGGGTTTTTTTTTAGAGTCAAAGGAAGTTTATTAGGAAAGGGGTAACACTCCACAGACAGAGCATAGCCTCCTCTCAGAGGCAGAAAGTGAGAGGGCCTAAGAGAGACAAAGACAGTGAGAGAGACAAAGTAAAGAGTACCGAGAGGAAGGCAATGAGAGGGACCTAACCTTCTGTTGTTGAAGACAACCCAGTGCGTGGTACTTTGCTACAGCCGTCCTAGGAAACCAACACAGTTTTTATACTCACTGCATTTTAAAAAGGTCATACCATATTTCCCAACTGAAAACAAGGAAATTCTCAGTAAAAAATTTTCATAACCATCCTTGTTAGTTCCATGCTAATAATCCGGATAATATAAAATCATTACTAATTTAAGAACACTTGTAAATTTAAATACAGGACCTCTGTGGAAAAATGTTGAGAATTTCCTGACTTAATAATATAATTGGTTCGCAGCAATTCGACTTTCACTTATCTGAGGATTTTGACTTTTATATGTACTTTCGAAGATATTATCTCATGTAATAATCCCAACAACTCTAGGAGAGAGGCGTAGAGCTCTCCAAATGAAGAAATGGAGGCACAGAGAGAATAAGAGACATGCTCAAAGTCACACAGCGAATCAGCCGTCAGTGGAGGATTAAATAAGAAATAAACTGTTTTAGTAGAGGATATCTTCACCCAACACACACGCACACATGCGCACGCGCGCGCGCGCGCATACACACACACACGCACACACACACACACACACACACACCAGCTCGGTGCTGTGAATCGTGACCCAAATTACAGATAGCTCTGTAGAACACTCACATGATAATGTGTCAGGGAATAAATTGGCTTCCATGGTTATGTCCTGTGCCAAAATTTTATGACAGAGAACTTCTCACAGAAAACCTCCAGCATGGCCATGAATGGGCCTGGTTTCTGCCTTGCTCTTCTAAATTCACACCCTCTAAATTCACCCCAAAGAATGGAGCAAACTAAGCAAAATAAGCCAGACAGAAAAAGTTGAAAATCACATGATATCACTTATATGTGGGATATAAACCTAAAAGCAGCAAATGAACAGGACAAACAGAGACTCATGGACATGGACAATAGACTAGTGGTTACCAGAGGGTAGAGGGGAGGGGGGACAGAGGAGGTAGATGGGGTAAAAGGGGTCAAATATGTGGTGACAGAAAGAAATCTAACTATGGGAGGTGAACACACATTGTAAATATATATACGCCTTGCTGTTAAAACGTACAGCTGAAACGTACCAGATTTTGTTAAGAAATATCACCATAAAAAAGAAAAAAAAACTTAAAAAAAAAAAAAAAGAATGGAGCAGAGGACCTGGATGAGGTATAGGTTAACACCCAGTGGTCTGACAGCATCAGCTCCAGGAAGACTCAAGATTTCATATTAGAACTGAAGGATGGGCCTTGGCTCTTGCCCCTAATGGACCATAAGAAGAACTGTTTTGTTTTCTTTTTAACCTCAGTCTGGCTGAGGCTCTGAAGACTTTTCCGAGTGCTTGGCTCCTGTCTTTTCTGGAGCCAGGGTAAAATAGACAAGGGTTGACCTAGAGCTACAGTAGACAATGACAGCCCACAGGTCAAATCTGAACTGCTGCCTGTGTTTATAAATAAAGTTTTATTGGAACATGGCCACTAATTTGCATATTAGCCATGGCTGCTTTCCTGCTACAGTGGCAGAGATGAGTCATGACAAGAGACCATGGCCTGCAAAGCCTAAAAACATTTGACCCTTTAGAGAAAATTTTGCTGACCTTGAACAGGAATCAGCAAATTAGGGCTATACGAGTGTCTCCTGTGTGACAGGCATTGGGGTAAATATCATACACACTGGCTTGTTTAGTAGTATTAGGATTTATGTTTCTCAAAAATGGGATCTGCTTCCAGGCTGGCCTGACCTGGAGCCCTGCCTAAAAGATGCTCTTTATGGAAAGGAAGCACATACCTTGGTTTTGGCTTGGATGGGTGCCCCGTGGTCCAGCAGGATCTCTGAGATTCTCACATGCCCATTCCGAGCTGCACAGTGGAGAGGTGTCAATTCATCCTTTAAAAGACAGAGTCACAAAGAGAAAGCCCCAAAGGCACCTATCAGAGGCCGCTGGAGAGAAGGCAGCCCGTCATTCCCGCTTTTTATGCTTCCTTAAGGACCAGCTCGATCCAGCACAGTCTTATTATTGTCTCCTGCTGTACCCTGGCTCCCGATATGGGCTGTTCCAAGAGAGGCCCATCGGTAGCTGGTCACGGAGAGCCCACCACTCTGATGAGGCTCTGGAAGGCAGAACTCCCTCCCCAGGTCTTGCTGTAGAGCTTGCTGGCACTCACCTTGGTCCTTGTTTCTATCTGGGCCCCGCGGTCCAGCAAGAGCCGCACCATGATCACGTTCCCCCTGCGGGAGGCGATGTGCAGTGGCGTGATGCCATTCTGGAGGGGAGGAACAAGCCCAGTCAGGGGGCGGCATCTTTCTCTGGAAAGCAGCCCTCTGTACCCTACTCCCCCATGCCCCATGGCCCCAGCCTGGCAGCGGCAGTAGTACCAGCAGCCATGTTAAGCCTACCGCTAGGATATTTCTCACCTAAGATAGATTTCAAAACCTATAAGGATATGACAGCATTGTGGTTATTCACAGTAACCATCCAAGCCCAGGCCTCCCAGAGTCAACTGAACCGGCTGGAAAGCCAATCCCAGGCCCTCCAGGTTTCCTCCCTTTAGAAGGGGCAAATGGAAACTGAGGGGCATGTGATTAGAAACCCACCAATAGGAGCCTTAACAGACACCAGGGCTGCCTCGCCCACAGACTTCTGTAGTACAGGGGAAATCATGGTGCCACAGGGGTGGCAGGAGCACCTGGATTCTAGACACCCTGGAGCCCCTGGCTAATGTGCAGGGACAGCCGGAGAGCCTTACCTGTGGCGTAAAGTTGACACTGGCTCCCCTGTTGAGGAGTAATTGGGCCACGTTGAGGTTCTCATAGTGAGCTGCGATGTGGAGGGGGGTAAATCCCGTCTGGAGCAAAACAGAGGGGGAACAACTTGTCACGTGCCATGTACTGTCATTTCTATCTCAGAATCAGCCCAGGGATTCTGAAAACGTGGGCAGGGCCAGAGGACCTTATACATAAAGCAGATTTAGACTGATGAGAACGTTTGCTGAAGGGGTCAAGAGATACGCTGTGGCAAGTTACATTCGAAAGCTAGGCTCTGCCTCTGAGTGTCCTACATTCTTTGTTTTGTGGTTCACATGGACAAATCATGGACTAGGATTACCTCCCTCTCTGTAGGGCCGTTCATCTGAATGCTTACTTATGAAGAGATCTGAATTAATGAATGAAAAGTAGAATGGTATCCATAATCTTAATTCTAGGGATTGTTTCAGCCCCCTAGAAGGGTATGATGACTAAACTGGTTGGTCAAAGACAGACCTTTGACCCTCTTAGTGGGTCATCTTTTTTTTGCATAACTTCAGACCATGCCTAACCCAGTCAGCAGTTTTTCAGACTAAACCCAGCGGCCATGGTGTAGACTGAGAATAACTCAGTGCAAATCCATTCCCACTATAAGAAAGAAATGAATAGACTAAATTAATAAAGTGTAGATCAGCAGTGACCCAAAACACAGACAGCGTGTTCACACTGCTAGCCATCCGAGCCCCCTGGGATGAACCCTCCTTGTTCTTATCGCCACATGTGGGGTCACCTCCTTCCTTCCACCAGGGGGCAGCCAGGG